ATTTTTTCCCGGGCTAATAACTTATTTTATTATTTATTTTAAGAGACTACATGTTGTTGTTTAAGGTATATTAATTATTAATTAATGTTGCGATCTATATTTATTAATAGTTTATTTGCTACATCTATGATTTGTCTATACAATGCAATTTTGTAATAAATTTTTTTATATACACGTATATGATAAAAGCGTTAACATTAAAATTTTATCTTATCCTAATTAAAAAAATGTTCCCTTTAATTTTTATATTAAACAATATAATATAAACATAAAATGTAGTAGGTACATATTTCATGTATGTATATTCATATTTATCTATAAATCTAAATATAAATTAAATATATATTTATATATGTATAAATTTATATATAAATATAATTTATAAATAAATTTAATCACATATCTATATATATTTAAATTTATATTAAATATATATTTACATTTATATTTTATTTTATAGACATTATTTCTATATATTATTTCCCTTTTGTTACAATTTTCTTCAAAATGTTACATTTTGTCACTAGATGTCAGCACATTTTATATATATTTTTGTTGCGGCAACACTGAAGACACTTGTAAAGGCCATGGCACATAAAAAAAATTAAGACGTAAGACTTAACCAACATGTTGGATTCGCTATTGCTTACGTATGGTCTTACGGTCTCTATTGTGATTGGCCGATTCGCCTACTGCTTTAAGTCTTACGCCTTCAGTTTTTTTATGTGCCATGGCCTTAAGGCTGCGTACAGGGCTGCGTTCAGAAACATCGTCTGAGCACCCCTATGTATCGTTCTATCCTTGTTGTTCACTCAATGTGAAACAAGGATAAAATGAAACACGGGGGCACCCAGATGATGTTTTCGAACGCGGCCCAGAATTATCATCTGAGTGTTTTTTTTATCCTTGTTTAACATTCGTGACAACGATATCTGCGTGCATCCGAAATACGATTCTGAACGCAGCCTAACCGCTGTGTAATCACTTGATCTTCAGTAGACGGACACTGTAGCGTAAGGATCGTCGCGTAAAATGTTATAGAAGTTTCGAGTGCCTTCATTATGACTTGTTAAATGAAAAGTAAGTACGCAAAATGCGAATAAGAACAGCGTGAACTCGAATATCAAAAAATGGGTATATTTGTGAGATACTTGAATCAAAAAGAATGCATGTGTCATGAAGAACACGAACGCGAGTATAATGCTGTTCGAATAATAATCAATAATCAGTATCATTATTACAAGGCCAGTTCTTTTTGGCTGAACTTTCGCATCAGTTCATCTTTCTCCTTCTTTTCTCTTGAAGAGAAAAAGAAAAAAGATAAACTGGTGTAAAAGTTCAGTTAAAGAGAACAAGCCTATAATTATATTATGTTCGTGATCTTAGGTTTTCGAAATTAGAAAAATACAACTGCTTTTAACTGCGTATAAGATCGCGGTGCTGAGTTAGCATCTACTATGTTATTCGAAGCGCGAATATATGTATAATATGAGTGCGTGTGCGCGTATAACGTTTAAATTTAATGAACTTTACATATCTCTCTCTCTCTCTCACTCATGTTATTAAAAAGCATCTTAGGTTAACCTTTCTCTCCGAGGAAAATTTTACTCGAAATATGTAATACATGTAACGTATACTATAGCATGTAGAATAAAATCTTCCTCGGAGAGAAAGTTTTGGAACATAGCCTTATTAGTGAACGTTTTTAGAAAGAACCTTTCCTTCACACGCACACGCGCGCGCGCGCACGTACGCACGGACGTATGCACACGAAGAAAAACCTAAGGCCGGTATTCATAGTCGATTCTTATTTAAGGCTGCCTTAAGTACAGTTTTAAGATGTTACGAACCAATCAGAAGGTCGTGTTCGCATCTTAAGATATTATTTAAAACGGTCTTAAAATAAGAACCTACTATGAATCCCGACTTAAGAGCAGTAATGGCCTTTTTATGTCTATTTTGCGAAACTGTAGATATAAAATCGTATTGAAAATAGAAATGTGTCCGTGCTAATAACAGCCAATCCTGGCAGCTCTTATTAGTACGGACATACACCATATTTGTACACTAATTGTAAGAGAAAAACTGTTTGATATTTGTAACTATAATTTTTTTAACGTTCTTTTAACTCCTACATAAAGCATAAGGCCTCTAATGAGGTTTCAGTAACAATGGATCTTTTTCCGGAATTAAGTTGTTAGCCTAATGTCCAACCTCCAGTTTGGGGAATTCATACACATTTATCCACTGATATATGAGACCTATGATGAGATAGTTTAATGCTAGATTCGAACGGCGCTGGTGATCAAAGGTCTCTTGCCAAGTGAAGCCATTTTCGACTCCTCAAACGCGAAAAATCACATATGTTATTGTGATTTTTCGCGGGCGGGATAAATAACTATAATAATAATTATTTGTAATTATAGTCATTTTGCCAACTATATATATATTGGGGCGTGTTCGGATTCCCACCCAGGTACTCTCCGGGCGTTATGTCATCCTTTTTTAATATTTGGTAAACAAGGATGCAGTGATACTTGAATGACAGTTAAATAGGAATTTGAACCCAGCATTGGTGAGTTATATATATATATATATGCATATATATGCATATAGTTATTATTACTAAGGGTGCGTTCCGAGTTACGCATGAAATGCACGATATATCGTTTTATCCTTCTTTATTAATTGGTAAACAACAAGGACAAATGATACATCATGCGCTTCATGCGTAACTCGGAACGCACCCCATTAATATAGTAGTCATAATCATAATTATGTACATAGTAATATGAAATTATAGTTATAAATACCAAACAATTTTTCTCTCAGTGTTAATAATAACGTTAATTCATTGCTGTCGATTTGATATTGAGAGGTTTATCGTTGTTATTTACACTTATTTTGCAAGTAACGGATTTGAAACTGGGGTATTTTGACAATAAATTAGCAACAAATTTCTACGTTATTTTAAGTACACTTTTTATTTATATTGTTCCGCTAACTTAATCTTTCTTTAGCGGAGATAATTTTAAATATATAATTTTTTAGAAAACTTGCAAAGCAACATATTTTTTTTCTTTAATAACTTTTCAACAACAAATAAAAATATTAGGTAGAATTAATTCTGTTCACTTTGTTCCGTTATCTTACAAGATGCGTGAGATGGATCCCGAAGGAGTCCGACACTCCAAGAGATAGTCCAGGAAGGAATACAGCCACAATCCAGCCATTAATCAACTATAGACTATAATGTTTATTTTTGTCTCTGGACAAGTGAAAGTGACTAACTACTGGAGACCGTAATAGGAAGATTCTGATAAATATTGTGAATTAAATTTGTCACGATATGGAGGAACTTATAATAATAAAAGAAGAGAGACCCTCAATCCAACGAATAATTATGGATTTGACAGAAAATGATGTCGATATCATTAGCACCAACAGCGAGGAATATGTACAAAATCAAATAACGAACAACGATGAAGATACAAGTCCAAAACGGCAAAGAGTTAACGTGACGGAAAATAATAAAGATACATACCCGAATCTTATCACAAATCAAGAGGCTACACGCGAAGAACTCTCTGAAAGTGATGAAAATAATGATGTCAATGATGACTCATCTTTTTCAAAAGTCCAATCTGAAGATACCTGGGAGATGAATCTACTGGAAGAGCCACAGCATGCAAAAGAAAAAGAAAAGCAAGTTAAAAAGCAAAAATTAAAATCGAAACAATGGATTGAAATTTTAAAAGAGACGAATGCGATTTCTGCGAATTCTTCGGTAAGAGAGTTACTTGGTAAAAGTAAAAACAATAATGAACAACTTGAAATTATTAATGAAATTCTTGAAGACATAAATAAATTGCTTAATTATACAAATAATAGCAAAAACCAAGTTACAAGTCAATTTAATCCAAACACAATTCAATTTGATAAATTCAACATAAATCCCATCATAGTAAATAAAATAGGCGAAATTAGCCGTAAATTACCACAAATTACTCTTGATAATATTAATAATACAAATAGTTATCGAACGAAGGCAGATCGACTACGTAATTCTGGCGAGATAGCTCAAAATCCCATAAATATGGATGTTACAACGTATCTCGGTTTAAATAATTCTTTGCGGACAGTTAGAAATAGTAGTGTTCAACATAACCAAGAAGTAGGACGTAAACGTAAGCGGTCGCGAAAGCAACAAGTGACGGCTTCATCCTCAGAAACATCCACAAGTTTAAGCCATATCGCGCAGTTGGAGACTGATGAGAAGATATTGTTACAAGAAATCGAGAATGAGTTAAATAAACAGAAGATTTTATTACGTAAACAACGTATCGAGGCCATGCAAGAAATCGTGTGTAATTTGAAAAAGAAAAGTGCCTATAAAAAGGTAAATGACGAACAAACACGACAAACACGGACAATCACAGCGCTAAATACACACCGACAGCTCAAAAATGAAGATACCTTTTACGAAGATAATTTTGTCATTAAGGATCGAGTGGGTTCCGAAGCATGTCGATTTAATGTGAAGTTTACGATCGAAGATTTGCGACCGAAGAGCTACAAAGGATCACGGGCACACAGAATAATTTACGACTTCGTAGAGGGACAATTAAAACGCACCATAAGCTCAGGGGCCGCAAGTGAGACAAATCAACAGGTAGTACCTCAATGTCTACAGGAAATACAACCATCAACATCCACGGGCGAGACAAGCACTGAAAGAAGACAATCAGCAAGAATCAAAAGAAGTTCTATCTTTTCGTTCAAAAAGAAAATACAACAAAAAAAAACGTTGATCAGCGAAATACGCAGGAAACAGGCAAATACTCAAGTTCGTGGAAGCGATGGCCGATTTGCCAAGACAAAGAAGGATACATCGAAGACGGTCAAACAAGTAAAATCAAGAAACGTCAAGCCGTCGAATATTTTTAAGTCTCTACAATCTAAATCTAAGAAATAAGTTGAACCTGCGCAAAATTAGATGATGGAAATAATATTCTAGAAAGCTAGTCTGCTTATAGAATCCACAACTTAGGAACGACAACCAAGAGATGGTGACAACTTTTAGAAATGGCATCATGAAGCAGCAATCAGAGGTCGAATAAGACGCAGTTTTGCAAGTGAACGTTAATTTTAAAGACAATAACCATAAAAAAGGATTGAAAAATGATTTAGCGATATTTTTTCTACTATTGAAAACTAAAAGAGTATGACGAATAAATTGAACCGAGATCGTTAATCTACATTGGACAGTAAGATCAATAATTATAAATAGTTTTTCCATAAATTTGAAATGCAAAAATAAAATTAAAAATATATTTGTATATAAGTTTATTTAAATTCGTAATTAAGATGTTATTACTTAATTGTTTAAGGGTAATGATATTTTCATTTTTTGAGAGGATATTTAAAATAATTTTTAAAAGAACAATTTTGGAGATAGAAGTACATACTTGAGAATTTTGAGGTATTTTGTGTATTAAGTTATTATTATTTGTGTATTAACCCTTACTCTACTAGGTACATTTTGGTGCCTCATCCATACTAACAGGGGCACTAGAATCCGTCCGTTTTTTTCATCTATTCAGGATGATTAAAAAATCTCTAAAAATTCATCAACATACCTTCAACTTTCTAAAATAAATATTGGCACTTCAATAATAAAATATAATATAATTTATAATTACCGAAAGACGCAAAGAAACTTGCACAAATAGGAATCGCTTGGTAACTAGTGACCCTCCTTAGTAGGGTAAGGGTTAAGTTATATAAATATTATTTGTATAAGAGAGATTTAGAGTAAATATGAACGGAAAGATAATATCAGTTCTAAGATCCTAACGATTAATTGTAGTGTAAAGAGGACTTACACATAGATACGAATTTAATGTAAGCATTGTAAGAAATATATGAACATGTTCAAAAAAGATTACGCACAAATTATAGTTTAAGTTTTGATATATTAAAAAAAATATTATTACCCCCAAGTAACACAGCAGCGCTTTGTTAATGCTTTGTAAGTGCTGTGTGCTATTTTGATATGGATCTCTATGCAAAAATTTAGCTTTGTGCAGCAATTTTTTTCTTTATATCGCCAAAAATTGTTTAATTTTCCTAGGCTATTAGAGACTATCTTGAAGAGCAAATAAAAAATCATCGGAAACAGTCCAGAAGCAGACAGATTTATGATTTTTTTTACTAATGAGATAGAGAAAGTTCTACACTGTCAATCGAAATATTGTGTACTGTTATGTTGTTAGCTGTATTAATGCTCTAATAACTTGAGGATGTAAGAAGATATCTGCGAATAAAGAGAGTCTCGTTCAGTGAATTCGATACTTTTCTCATTAGTGCACGATATTAACACATATTTTCTTACTATTTTGCTAGATTACTTAAAAACTTCTACTGGGTGACTCAAAAACTTTATTAAACATATGAAAATTAAACGTTTCTTAATTTTCTAAGTTTGTTAAATTCTAATTATTATTTCGCACCGTGATTACCATAAAAAATTAGTATAATATGCAAAATTCAGTAAATTTATAATATTGTTCAAATATTGATTAAGCATTAATTATATAATAATAAAATAAGTGTTAATAGATTGCATTGATTTTCTTAATAACGTAATGATTTGATAAATTTATTAACAGTTATGAATGTGCAAAACATAATGATCTAATCGTGTGTACTAAGGGCTAGTTTCAGTGGATGAGACAGATAAATTTAATGAATATTATACATAACATATTTCATTTAAATTGATTTTTGTACTTGATTTGCATCCGGACAAGGATCGCAATTAGTTTTACATAATTCGACATTACATTCGATGAACAAATCCATAACATCAGGGAATTTGAAGGCTTGAAAGAACGCATAAGCGATAATGGAAGCGCCTGTATTGCCGGTATCGTTTGTCTTTTGGAAGGCACCAAACAGTTTCGGTTTCAGAATGCAGCCTCTTTCGTCGGTGAGCTGCAACATATTGGTTGAGGCTTCGTCTCGCGCCAAACAGTCACGCACCTTAAAAGTCATTGTTTCGTTCATATTTTATATTTGCAATCAGGCTTAAACAAAATTTATTATTTTACGATATAAATAGAGTTACTTTGTTATTTTAGAAATGAAAGTAGATCATATAGTGACGAACAATCATTAGCTTGTAATTATTTCTTGTGTATTTATGAATAAATAGCATTTACATTCAATAGCAATATGACGATAAAAAAGGCAAATAAGAATCGATTCTTTAAAATATAAACGTATAAAAATTATTAATAGGAGTTAAATACATATATAATGAAAAACTGAGATATTAGTACATGTTTCGGCTCTTAAATTGAGTCATCTTCAGATATCTTCCTTTTCACACTTAAAATTAGTTATCGTCAGAAATAAAAAAACCATGATATAATGTGTTTCAACTTGTGTAGCGATCCTGATACGTACATACAACATTCATCAGGATCGCTACACAAATTGAAACACATTATATCATGGTTTTTTTATTTCTGACGATGATGGTAACTAATTTTAAGTGTGAAAAGGAGAATATCTGAAAATGGCTCAATCTAAGAGCCGAAACATGTACTAATATCACAGTTTTCATTATGTATGTATTTACCACTCCTATTAATAATTTTTATATGTTTATATTTTAAAGAATCGACTTTTATTTGTCTTTTTTATCGTCATATTGTTATTGAATTTTTAAGAGTCCTTAACTGGCTTATATATATTTTTAGCATTTACATTGTTTGATTTTCTATATATGTAAGATAAATTTCGATGCGTACCTGAAGATCGAAACCAGGATCGCCCTTCACGGAAACTACTAAGGTCATGGTTTCTCCGATCTTTACGAATTCATTGACTGTAGGTGCAAAGGGTCCTTTACCAATTTGAATATCCAATTTGACTGTTGCAGTATCGCCACTAAAAGTAACGATCTCCTGGTTCAACATATCTATTGAGAGATTCACCATTAAAGCCTTATTAACGTTTCCTTCCCAAAGACATCGTATTCTTCGAATTGCATCCCATGCTTCTTGTATATCTGGTTCATTCTGGTTTTTAGGAACAAAAACTTTTTATTTTTAAATCTAATAATTATATTCGGTTTTTTTTTTGTATGAGTTAAGTATGACTAATATAAAATTTGAAGAAAATAAAAAGTAAAACTAATAAAAATTAAGTCGACATCAACTTGTAATACAAGGACGGTTTCCAAATATGCTTGTCCAGTCGCACCCTTGAAATCATTAATGAATTGAGTTCCGCAAGAGTCTAAATTTACAGTAAAGGAGTACTGCGTTGAACCGGAATTCTCTTTTACGTATATACATTCCGGATTTGCGTAATAGCCCTGAAATTTAACAAAATCAATATATTGTCGATAATTTGTGATAATTTGTAGCAAAAGATTGTTTTGTTTCACGCTTACTTTAGAATAAATAACGCCGTTGAAAGCTTGATTGAATTCAATATGGATCGTCATCATTGTCTTACTACATTCCACATCAAGATTATGGATATGCGGGGGATGAGGAGGCTCAACAGTTTGACTGACTTTTGGATGTTAAAATTGCAAATTAATTTTTATGTTCTCTATGTTTATATTAGATTGACTGTAGCAAAAGGTAGATGTATAGATAACGTACACGTATGTATACTTTGCGTACTCACCAGAACTAACTTCAAAACTAACTCCAGAACTAACTTCGAAACTAGGAACAAAAATGTTTGTCATACTAGGTTGTATCATATTTGTAGAAAAGATGCGTGGGTTATATTCAAAAGAAATGCCTTCGTTTCCACCTGTACGTCCAGCCAATTGCTTGCCAGTCCTGGACGCGGAATGAATCGATCTTGCATCAGTCGATGAAAAAAGCGGAGATTGTGACGATAAATGAGTGAGCGACGATTTCGGGATATTTAAAGGCGAAAAAGTCGTTGAGTGCTGATTTAACTTAGGATTATATGATGTGAAGGCTACAAAACTTTGCGGCACACATATGGAGTCTTGTTGGCTACTTGATCTTGAGGAAGAATTTGATTTAGATAAAGGTTGCTTGCAAGCTATGTAACTGATCTTCGGCGGAGTAAGAAATAGTGATGGTCGCTGCACGCGATGGTTCGTTATATTATTCTGTCGAGAGTTTATTCCTGCCTTGAAGGTTTGAGATCTTTGGAGCGATTGTTGCATATTAAAGATCGGCCCATATGTATTTGAATCCGATTGGAGACGAACTATAAAAATACGAATATTTTTCTTATTGAAAGTAAAAATCCATCTTGATGATAGTCCTAAATAAAAGGAAAGTATCAATAAAAATTGCAAATACGCAGTATTTTCAATATGTTTATTGATATCATCTTTATATTTATTATTGTAAATTACTTTGTAAATTTTATATCATGCATTTAAACTTTAAATTCATGGTCTATATTTTACAAAGTAATTTTCAATAATTTAAACAGTAAGATATTTCTATTCAAATATTAGTATTATGCCGTTTTATTTACCATTTATAATATATAAGTTAAGAATATTAAATAAATTAGAGTTATTTTACATTTTTTAGACTTACTAATGATAAAACAAAATTGAAAAATAATTTCATAATCAAAAATTGCTAAAAATATATTTATAATAGCTTTCATTGAATCTGTTGAAAAATAATGTTATTGAGATATATAAACATCGATCATTTTTATATCTATTTATTAACCTTTCTGAATATTAATTAAAAACAGATTTAAAAAATAAAAATAGGAAAATATAATCTCAAAAACTAATTGGGAATGCATTAATATAATAATAATGCTTTATGATAAAAGATGATTTGTCTGCAGAATAAGCGCATATCAAAGCTAGTGTTAGACAGTGAAGCAACTTGTAACTACGTCTTCTGCGATAAAATTGATTATTTACGATCAATTAGTAATAATAATTTTATGCTTAAATTGATGCGGCGGCAGTAGTTGTACATAATAGCAGCTTTTTCTCTGAAATTGCAATATATATCTGAGATGCGATGAGTTTATTTTTTAAACTTTTAAATTTATTAGTAAATTTCAAATCATTTATGATCAAATTTATATTTATAATAATATTATAACAGTCATACTATCTCTCTTTTTTCCTGATTGCGTATAAGAGAAAAATTCTTTATTCTTACCGGAATTTGTATTTGTGTTTCTCGCGAAGATTGCGCCATCATCGCCGAAATCGTGGTTGCATATTGCTGCAGTTGAGAGAGCAATGACAACAATCGCTGCGATAAACATCATCCTTAAAATGTGAATTTAATTTTATAATTATAAATAATTGAACTCTTTTATTTTTTTGCCTCTCTCTCTCTCTCTCTCTCTCTCTCTCAGCAAACACACACATTCTCACACGCACACAAATTTCTTTCACAGAATAATCGTCTCGCGAAATCGAATTTAACATTATAATAGTCAAATGTCATCGACAACTGAGAAAGCTATATCAAAAGATGATGAGTCTTCGATGCGGTTAGCGGTAGATTGATTTTCTCGTCAAAAGTAAATAATGACTGAAATTGCAATTTTGGAAATTTGTTACTATACAAACGAGATGACTTTTAATGAAATAAGGAATGATAGTGTATGAGTATTGTAATTTATCTTTAGGTCTGAGTTTGCGTATTTTGGATTAATATACACGAAAAAATTATGTAACACGTAAAATACACAAAAGGTGTCTACCTTACCTCGACCACTGCAAATTTTGAAAGCATCATTGTTAGAAAATACATAGTGGTTTTGTAATTGGACTGTAATTGGCGGAATAACCAAGGTTTTGTAGTAGAGAAAAAGGAAAGAACCGCACGCATTATTTCGACAGATCTTGAGAGGAAAATGTAGTGTTAGTAACGGCATTTATTCTTTAATCTTAGGCTGTTTATCTTTTATCATTAAAAATTTTCTTTGAATTTATGTCGGGATTGTGTTTCTGTTACTTATTTCTATTTTGACAGATAGATATCCATTAACATATTTCCTTAAACGGGGATGATATATGCTGCATAATTGTACTTTATCATCTGAAATGATTCATAATATCAGATCTAATTAGAATTATTAATTTATAGATATAATCACTAGCACATAATCTCATATTTCTAATCATTTAGATGTTTCTTTTATATAGGTAAGTCATATTTTCATAATCTTCATAAATATTAAAATTCGAAATCGTTGTAAATCTGCCATTAAATACGTATTTTTCGCATGCTTGTTCGTGCTTTTCTAGAGTCTCAAGTGAAACAAATGGATGTAGTTATGACGGATAAAAATTTGTGAAAAAGCATAATGATTATGAAAAGAGCATATTATAAAATTGGCAGTATATAAAATTAACAAAATATGTAGAATTACTATGTTTTGTTAGTTATTTTTCATTTAATAAACTTTCCGACATTAAACATCTAAATAGGCATCTAAATAAATATCTAAATAAGTATTATTATATTTTTAAAATTATTTCTAAACAAAGTTGAAATCTTACAGTTACTCTTCATTAATCCGATGTACTTGCGACAAGCGCGGGAAAGCACCGTGCATCTTTGCTTAGTTTATGTCACTAATCCGTTAGCGAAACCGAAACATCGTACTACCTTTAGTTGCCTGCACTCATCCGATGTTTCATCGGATTAGTAAGGTAAAAGATTGAAAAATTAACAGGGAATATGGAGTTTCAGCAACATGAAAAGTGAAAGTCGCACTGCGCTGAGCTAAAGGAATGTGTAGATATATAGTGAGTATACGCTTGCTTTTACATATTTATGTTGAAGATGTGTATATATATGTATGCATAATTGTGAAATCTGAGATTTATGTATCGTTCGCTAAATTCGATATAAATCCATGCATTTTTCTTCTCTCATATGTTTGTTTTAATATAGTAAAACACACACACACATACACAAATTATGTATTCTAAGAATAAAATAGTAAAGTGTATATCTATGTATGATATAAAAAAGTAATAAATAAGAAATTTTTAATATTTTATTTAAAATACGGAATATATGTTCGTAAACTTATATTACTTTTCTACTAATTTAAATATATGTATGAATATGTGTATGTATATGTGTATATATTCATTTTGATGTCAAAAAGATGATAAATAATGTCAGCTTGTTTATCGAGTATATACCAATAATATAAAATGTATATGTATATATGTTTAATAAATATTACACTTTGAAACTTACGTGTAAATAAAATAATCCCATGGAAAATGATTAGCACAGCATACAAATAATCGATAGCTGAAGTCAATCTTAATGGCTAAAAGTTTGCGTTGTACGTGCGTTTGAGAAAGGCAAGAATGAATATAGGAAACATCTTCATTTCAGCTTTATATAAGTATTATTCTCTTAGATCTCTAGACGGACTCTGCAAAAAAGCGTGCCATCACTCTGAATGTGTCTGTCGTAATTTTATCATCAGCAAGATGAAAAAGGTACTTGTTGATGAAATAACAAAACGAATATTTTACATTCAAAGTTTCATAAAAAATAACAATTCATTTCCGTTACTAAATTTATTGCAAAATAATTATATCATTTTGTTCATATTGCTTTTATTATGAGATATTTAATATATGTATATTGTTTCGATCTTATATTATTCGATAATAAAATAATTATTTTCAACAATGAAAGAAATATTGTAAAAAGAATAAAAAACTTGTTAATTATTTTAAGATTTATAATATAAAATTGAAAAAATACAGTATGACAGGAAGATTATGACTTTGAATTATTAAAAACTATAATTTTTCAATCATATTGTATTTTAATCAAAGTTCTTTTATTAAACGCTCATAAATGTTTACTCATTCGGTTTTATGACTTTCTGTTCACTTATTTGAGTGAATAATGTTACAAGTAATAACTATAATTATGATTCATAAACTTTTAATTTTACCATACATAACGTGATTTTTCGCGCGCGCGCGCGCGCGCGTGTTAGACTTTTGCAAACTAGAGAAATCAAAGTACTGGAATGTAATTTTAGTATTTTACTAGATTATATGCAATCTAACATCAGTAATCGTATCATATGCTGTACATAAATTTCAGATTCATTTAATAGTTGTCTATATAATCAATATTGATGCAAAAGATTAATAATAACTAAATAATTACAATATACAAAACAACGCTAGACTGTCTGACCATATTTCTACATTTTATTATATAAATTATTCGTATACATAAATGTTCAGCTTTTATAAAATGCTTAGGTATGTGACTACTTTTTCCGGCGGTTTTAAATTTATAGATGTTCTAACACATGACCTACTGATTACACCATTTTAATTTTTATCCTAAATACAATCATATATTTAAAAAACTAACTTCAAGAAATAGTCAGAATTTTTTCGCGTGAGCTACCTCACTATTATCAATATCAAATAACAAGGCATGAAGCGCATCATGATAATTTAATGCTCTCGAATATGTACTTAAAAAAAAAATAGTAAACCTGCTAGCTCAAAGTTTGGTAGAAGTGACGGACATAAACGGAAAAGTTCACAAGCGTAAAAAAACATACATCCAATAATTAAATTTCTTACCAAAGGAAGAATAAAATCTTTGGAAATATAAAACATTATTTTATTAATAGTAAAAAATTCATTTTACAATAATTTATGTTTATCGTTTTGAAGCAATCAATTTTGTTTAACAAAAATGTTACTAATACTTATGTATCATGAATAGCATGAAATTGTACAAATACTATAAATGATCAAATTGTAATCTTTTCTACATTTACTTATATATATTACAAATTCTATTCCTCGAAATCCACATTAAAATAACGATCAAAATGCCAAATTAACTCTTTATATGCATATATTCTATAATTCTGTATAAACTACTACAAAATATTATGAATTAAATTACTTTTAATATACAGCACCAACAAGATTTTAACATCTTAGTCATGTCTCATCTTTATTATCAATCATGCTATATTATCAATCATGATGTTTTATCTTCTTCATGACCTTAAGCAGTTCCTTATACACAAGCTTGGGTGCATCTTTACCCCAGATGAAATCCAGATGATTGAATTTAGGCAACGGTACTCTATACGTGTAAAATATGTTGCGTGATATTGAGATGTATAACTTTTTCAGGTCCTTGAAAAGAAACCATAAGTTATCATATGTTATCTTACATTTCATCACTCTGCACTGTTAAATCTATAGTGTCAAATTTAACTTAAGATGCTAATATGGCTCTCTGATTGGTTCAAGCACTAGCTTAAGAGCATCTCGAGTCTTGAGCAACGCGCGTCTATATATTCCGTACTAAATACATTTTCCCTCTACTTACCGAAATATCAACCAACCAATCATTGTCGGCGTAGAATAATCCGATTGGCACTTTGATGTTTGTTAGATTGTAATCCGGCGGTTCAGTTGCGTTGTAGATCAACAGATTTTTCTCACGTCCGTAATCGAATTGACGAAATTTGCCCGACTCGATTTCCTGGTTAAAGTGTACCACCGTTTTGGTCGAAGTACCGGCTGGGTCGTGACTCAGAATCATTGGGAGCAGAGTCTAGAAAACAATATATTTGATCTGAAGAATAATTGCATGTGCCAAACATGATGACATTCGAAGCGTTGCTCGTAGTTGCACTTTGATGATTTTGATTACGTTTATTTATGGAATACTTACGTAATTGAATTGTTCTTCATCGAATCCACAGATCAGGAATAGTATGTTAGTACAGACCTCCTTAAAGGAATTTACTTCACAACCGTGCTTCGCCAGAAATTGCAGCACACCGTCATGCGGCAGAAACTCGTCCTCGCCGAAAAAATGCGCTATTATCTGTAATCCTTAGATTCCTTAATTGCGATATATTTACTTATAATTTGAGTGTTCTGGTTTCAGTATTTGAAAATAAATAGATACATTTTAAATTCTTAAATCACTAGACAATAATTAACTTATTTTTTAATAGTATATTACCTCTAATCTGTTGGCAAAAGGAGCAAAATATCGTATTGGACTTTTGATATGTTCTACAAAAGCCACAGGCGCAAGACTAATTATTGTTTTTACCCACATAGCAATTTCTGGACGTTCTGCTGCCATCACGTAAGAAGCAGTTGTACCCATCGAATGACCAATATACGTGTACAATCTTTGTGACACCGTATTATTGATATACAAGATCATGGCAGGTAAATCATAGATGCCTAGTTCGTGAAAGCTGACAAAAATTTTAATCGCTGTACGTCACAAAATACAACAAATTATATTGTCCCACAATAATATCAAATTAATTCATTTAAAAAAAAACTTTCGTTTACTTTTACTGTAAGTTACAGTTAGTGTCATAAGAGCGTCGTCAATAGTTTTCTGAAAGAAACCGAGTATGTTAAAAACGAAAATTTATATTTAAAAATTACATGCATTTACTTGCAATTAGCATGGCATCCAATTACCATTATTATGATTATAGTTTATTATCAAGACGTGCTTCCAACGAGATTTTTTTGTTAGAATTTTGGATAAAGACCTTTAATTCTTCCGAATACGCCAATATTGGCTTGCAAGTAAATATTTATTTTTCTCTTTATTTTCACGCGATTAACTAGGTATTTTCAATCGGATTTGCATTCGGAAATTAGGGGGGGGGGAAGGTCAATCCATTATATTATTATTACCTACATTATCATTCACATTTGTAAAAATAGGAACAATGTTTCGTGGAAATCCTGGCGACAAACTATAATTAATAATAATGTTAAGCACTATTAACATCAAGTAAATGCATTTTGATGTATGCACTTTTTAAATATATAACTTCAATTTTTAATATATTCAGAGAACTGCTAACAACGCTTACTATTAATCACATATTAATTGTTATGATAATGTAATATTTGACGCAATATTATTTTCTTCTTATTTTATTAGTACAAGTACCTGAAATTCCAAAATCTTGAATCCGACGGAGATAAAGAAACGTGAGCTCTTGAATAGGTATTCCCACGAAAATTGCCCAACCAAACATCATATCCCCAATCGGCCAATATGAAAGCTAGTATAAAAAAGAAAACATTGTTCACAGTAGATATAGTTACTTACGTAAAAATATTTTGGCTTTATAGTATTATATACACAATTTATCCATCCGTATTGTTTGATAAATTTTTTATTTCTGTGATAAACTTTTTATTAATCTCAATTTGAGTAAAGTGAAATTTTATATAAAATATAGAAGAAAAATATTTGATTTTAATAAACAAACTTATTAGCACACAAAGTATAATATTACAAAAATAAAAATAAAAACTTTCAAAAATCGAAATTAGAATTTGCACGTTTTCTTTTGGTTGGAAATGGAGAGTTTATTTTTCGTTATTTTGCCAGAAGCGTAATCGATAATTTCTCAAAATTTGATTGCGGTACTACCAAGTCCTTTATTCTTGCCGGAAATGACCCAATCGGCGGAACTGCCCAAAAGACCATGCTGTAACAACACGGGAAAGTTCTTGTTACCTGGAATACGATCAAGTGTTAAGAGGTAACCGTCCTCCGTCTGTACAATATGAGCCTCCGCTGGATAACCAGCTTTTTTTATCATTTGTAGCTGGAAAAAGTAAAAACAAATCATTTATCACTTATATAGTAATACAAATTGCGATCTCAAAGATCTCATTGCTGAGCCTTCATTCTATCTTATATGGTTCTTATACTTATGAGAAATTAAATTCCGCAGTCTTTATCTATAGTGATGATGCTGCGTAATATATTGTTTATAGTAATATTTATTATAAATTAGTGCTATAAAAAGCTCTCTTAGGAAACATCCCAAACAGCACAAAGTCTAAAATTATGACATAAAACGTCTTTAAGTCGTCTTTTAGATGTAAAAAACGTCTTATGACCTCGATTTTAGATTACTTTTTGTTGTCTGGGATCTTACAGAACAAAGACTTTTTGATATCATTTTAAAGAAATTTGAATAAGGTCTTTAAAAAGTTATCTTAAAAATTTCACTCTCTTTCGCTCCTTTTTTCTGTCTTTCTATTTTTCAACAAAGTTTACTGCGAATCACAAAACTGTATTTAATCTTGAGATATTATTTAAAATAATCTTGAAATATAAAAACGGATTATGAATATCAGCCTTATTCCTTTTTAATTAGATATTTATAGCTCAATCTTACATTTATTATTTTAAATTTACATCTCAAATGATCTCAAGATTCCATTCAATCAATAGATGCATCCAAAAGCACGACTTATAATTAATTGGTCAGTTCTTTATTTCTGCACTATCTGAACTGGTGCAATGGTAATAAGTTGAAGTCAAACAAAAAAGGCCTGTTTTTTTTTGCTGAACTTTTGCACCAGTTCATCTTTCTTCCTCTTCTTTCCTCCGGCAGAGAAAAGGAAGAAAGATGAACTGGTGTGAGTTCAGCCAAAAAGAATAGGCCTAAATATATATTGCACCGTTTGCACCAGTTCAGACAGTGCAGGAATAAAGAACAGACCTAATATAATAATAAGTGCTTTAAGATTGTAACTTTAAATACATGATTATAAAATCGGAATATAGAAAAAAATATTTACTTACCGTATTAAGACTGACATCAGAATTGAATTTGGTGCTATTCGGCCGTTTCCTGCTTTCCTGCATCATTTTCATGAACGCATTCAATGAGAGATCTTCCGAAATGTCGAATGTCACGGCTGCGGCTAGGCCGCAGACCAGCAAGAAGAACGCAATTATGATCGTCTGCATCGTAACGACATACGATAAAACCGGATTAATTCAAATTAAATCGCGGATATCGCGATTCCTCTAGATATTAAGATGTAATAACAGCGAAAAATTAAGATGAGAAGTATGACTACACTCTTTCTACGTATAACTGAAATCTATCTCTCTCGCATTCTCTACAGTAGGAAACGATGACGAACATGTTTATCGATCGGAAGAGGAAGAGAGAGAAAGAGACAGAGAGAGGGGGAAAAAGGAGAATAAATAGAAAAAGTAGAAGCAATCTCACGCAGAACAACAAGTCACGATATCAAAATAAATTCAAAATGAGATCATTAAAAGTCATTTTTCAATCATTTCCAATTTATTTTAATGTTATTTTGACGTGATTGTGACTTGTTCTGCTTGAGATATCAGTCATCTGATGATTATATTATGAAAATTGCACAAATTATAATGGAAACTAATCAGAGATGCATGTAACGTTGTTTACACTAGGCAAGTTGCGCCTCGTTTTGATGCAGATTATTCTTCTCATCTATATTCTACGTATCTAATGTAATCTCTCTAAATTCTTTAGAGTGGAATTTTACTCTAAAGAGTGAAATTTCACTTTTAAAAATTGAAAATTCTGCCACTCTTTTTTTTAAAGGAAGAAAATATGTAGACCGCGCTGATTTTATGCGGGCCATCTGACGTACCTATAAATATCAATTATTCAAATTGCTTTGAGATATTCTTCCGATTATAAAGATTTAAAAAATCGATTTTTCTTGATTCTCTAAATTAAATTTTTCTTAAAGTTTATATTAATTTATTATTCGGATAATATTAGAACGGCAATAAAGTATAACAAAGTAGACACTAAAATATTATATATATTATACTTACAAGAGAACTCATGAAGTGTCAAATTCTGATTAATGAAACTTAAATTCGTATACACATAAGTTACATATACAGACGAATTTAGATAATATCAGTTGCGACACAAACCGATTTTAAAAGGCGAAATTACTTCATGTGTAAAGTGATTTTCACTTTTTTCATTATAGTATTTCAAAAACTATTTAAAATATAAAAAAGTTTTAAATAAAAATTTTATAATAAAAATATCTCTATCTCTATTCATTTACAGCAATAATATTTTTGAAATATAATTATTTAAAAAATCTCTTCGAAAACGTTTAAAAATAATTATTTTTTTTAATATTATTGACATGGACGAATAGAGATAATTTTATTGCAAAACTTTTTTGTAAAACATTTTTTATACAAAATTACTTGCCTCGGTCCCTTTCTATTGTTAAAAATCGTAATTTTGCCTTTTAAAATTTTGGAAATCAAATTATCATCGATATATCTCGAAACGAGAATGAGCCAGTCACTGATCGTTCGAGATTTATGGGTGCGTCTTCACCGTTTCTAATCTTCCGCACCTAACCTCACATCGTATGGTATATGTCGTATTACGGTAGCAACATGGATGTGGACACAGCGAGCGACAATACATCGATCGATGACAAGATAGATGACTTTTGCGAAAATCCCACGCGAGATGCATTAACAGAGGGTCTCATGAGCCTTCTGAAACCTACAGTGGACCAACTGGATGATAGAATTCGCGCTACAAGGTACCCAAAATTTTTCCGTCGCGATTCGTTGCAGGGCGTATGCCCATAAACTTCTCTTCGATGTCGCGGTCGCACTTCGTATACTTGTTGTTTCTGCAATATTTTTGTAGGACAGACCACTTTCCTTTTAAGCATAGTCCATACAAGTATCATTTCATCTTTGCCACCATTATTGAATGTCAAAAAAGATAACGTTTATGTCGACCGCGTCTCTTGAAAGGAAAGTAGTCATTATATCAAATAAAATAACATTTATTTTTATCTACTCATTCATTCATAGATTCACTTATAAATTCTGTTGCATACAAAAATTAAGAGTTTATTTGATTTGCATACGAAAATTATTTTTTATAGAATATGTCAAATTGAGTTGAAGCAACGGATTGAATCCCTAACAGAGGAACTTCAAAAAATCAACGAAGCATTGCAGTATCCGCTGGACACAGATTCCTATGTAAAAAAACTAGTTAACGCTAAGCATAAGATTACTATTGTTAGCAATATTCTGCAAAGTACCCAAGAGTGCTTGAATAAGGTGCATCAAGCTGTTGAGAAGAGTACTGCCAAACGAAAAACACTACTAGATAATAGTTCTGCATATAACAACACAAGTATCGAAGCTGATAAAGAAGAACCAGCTACAGCAGAGACTGATAAGCAGCAATAATTTCCGATATTAAACCTATGATCGATAAGATATGACCAAATTGTTACTAAATGATTATTTATAAGTTTTATAAGATTTTATTACATTTTTTCTTATATAAATTATGGAGACCCCAATAGTTAAACTGTCTGATGAAGAGCTCAATACAGTTTATGAGCCTTCTGAAGATTCGTATCTTTTGGTGGACGCTTTGGAAGCAGATTTAGAGATTCTGCATGCGATGAAGCCGAGAATTTGTTTAGAGATAGGTAGTGGCTCTGGCATAGTTATCACAGCTTTAGCAATGGCACTAAAAAAACGTCATAATGTTGAGTTTATTGCGATTGATATAAATCCTGATGCATGTAGAGCCACGAGAAGAACTAGTCTGATTAATTCAGTCGATGTAGATGTCCTTCAAATGAATTTATTAGATTGCATACGAATTAAATATACATTTGACATTATTTTATTTAATCCTCCGTATGTAGTTACAGAATATAACGAAGTAATAGATGACAGACTCGTATTCAAAACATGGGCAGGAGGTAAAAATGGTAGACAAGTTATGGAACAGGTATTTGCTATTATTCCCAAAATCTTATCAGATGCAGGATTGTTTTATTTAGTTATTATAAAAGAAAATAATCCTGAATATATATTGAGCGTTTTCAAAAAGTTAAATATGTCTGGTGAAATTGTTCATGAAAGGAAAGTAAGAGGAGAACATTTATACATTTTACGTTTTCGAAAGTGAAGGAAACGAAAAATTAGCACTACATGTCAGGGATATAATATCCACAAGATATTTTAAAAGATTTTAATTTTATGGAAAGAGAAAAAAGGTATTACTTCAGTGATTGTATGCTGCAAGTGTAATTATTATTTATCGTGATAAATTACAGATAAATGAACTACATCTATTTGAATCATGTATTACACTGTTTGTAGATAGTTGTAACATTTATATTATTTGTAAGTCATTGTTATGTATTACATAATTGCAATTAATATATACAGGCATAACAATATATTGTGTAAAATAATAATTTAATTCCTTGTCTACGTATACTTTTATCTTTAGCAATAATTGTTCGTTTTAGAAAGATGATAAGTAGAAGCTGATAAAAAAAGAAGTCACATCCTTTTTACAAATTTCACACCGAACTTGAGTTCCTCCTAGAATGATTGTAAGAATCATTCTGGCTTTAAACACATTTTTTTCGTAAATAATGAATAAGCGCGGCTAATCAAGCGCAAGTTTTACATTAAAAAGATCAAAACTTGCGCTTAATTATCCGCGCTGACTCTCAGTCCTCTCTCAGGTTTCTCTATATAACTGGCCCCCCACATAACCAAATCTTAATAAAAAAATTATGGAATAATGCGCTATTTATGCACTATCCGCAAAAAAAAATTTTGCGCTCATTCCGTTTAGCTAAAAAAAAAAATTTTTTTGTGGAGGGCTGAGTAGGCACACAATCAGTCAGCCCCCCCACTTGTTAAAAACAAACGATTTAAAAAATTAAATACACAGGATTTATGCACTATTTATACGCTACTATTTTCAAGCATTTTTTATTTTTGCGCTGCAGCCCTTAAGGCACTTCTCTCTTGGAACAAACAGTCATATTCAACACTAAGTCGTTTAAAATCGCAAAATTAAATACTCTGACTATGCAAAACAATTCTTTGATTTATGCGCTACTATTTCCTGGCATTTTTGATTTTTGCGCTGCAACCCTTAAGTTAGGAAAACAGGAATAGATATTAAGATTTTAATCTATCAGAAACCGTGTGTTCCGATGTATCCGATTTCTGATAGGTTAAAATTATTCTTTGTTCCTAATTCCTTATTCCTTTTATTGTGCGCAGGGCCGCTCCGATTCAAATGTGATTATGAGGCTGCGTTCCACTTAACGCTCACAACGCTCGCGGAATCATTTCATCCTTGTCTTTTATCAAATGTTAAATAAGGATAAACGATGCTCGCAAGCATTGCGTTAAGTGGAACGCAGCTCTAGTCGAAATCCGCTATCCATAAGGTTATTTGTGTGTTTTTGTCGTACGACAAAGGCTACGTTCGGAAACGTCGCTCGGATGCCTCGGATTCATCATCTGTCCTTGTTTAACATTTAATGAATCGGAGGCATCTGAGCGACGTTTCCGAACGCAGCCAAAGTGTACAGAACAGAGAGGTCCTCGGATATTTCCATTCCATAGCCAATCAACAGGCTTGAAAAATTTGACGTACGACAAAAACAAATGAAATATCACCCTTACTATATTTGTACTATAATTGTACTTTTAACGACATTTACTTTTATCGAGAGAATTAAAGACGACTTATTTCTGCTGTTGGCTCATAAAATTTATTGCGTCATACGAGGGTTACAACTGTTACAACATGAGCGTGGACACAGTGAGTGACAATACATCGATCGACAACGAGATAGATAACTTTTTCGTTCATACATATTCTGTGAGATTTTCGCAAAAGTCCACGAATTTCATGAAGTTCCACTTAAAACATGTAGAGAACCAGGAGGACCAACTACTTCTTCTGAATGAACGCATTCGCACTATAAGGTAATCATAATTTTCTCGTTACATTCATTGCAAGGCACATGCATGAACGGTAAACTTTTTCAATGTGTTGTCGCGTTTTATATGTTCTTGTCTCTGCAACACGGAGTTTTTGCAACAACGTGAATTCAGATACGATGAATGCTAAAGTCACGTTATTCTTTTCTTAATTAGTTAAAAAGATAACCTAACCTTAGCGTTCACTGTATTTGGATAAACAGATCACTAATGTTTCTGCAGGACAAAGTCTACACTCTCCTTTTAGGAGGCACAGTCGAGAGACGCAAATATTATTCTATCTGTTAGTGTTATTAAATGTCAGGAAAGATAGAACAACACATTTATGCTGATCATTTTTCGTAAAAGGAAAATAGCCATAATAATCAAATAAAATAACATTTATTTTTATTCACTCATTCGATACATTATAGGTCTGTTTTTTTATTTGTGTACTCTGAACTGATGCACACAGTACGATAAGTTGAAATAAAACAAACTTATATTTGTTTCACTTTAACTTTTTGCACCATATGCATCATTTTAGAGAGTACAGAAATAAAAATTAGACCTTATATTGTCCATAAAAATCAAGAGTTTATAGGATTTCTATCTACATAACTATCATTTTTTTGCAGGATACGTCAAGTTGAGCTAATGGAACAAATTGAATCCTTACCACAGGAAGAAGTCAACGAAGTATTACAATTGCTCATAGTAAATGAAGCTGAACTAGTTGAAGCTGAACATAACATCGTTATGTATAGCCAAGATTTGCAAAATATCAAAAAGTACATGAATAAGTTATACCAAGATGGCCTTTCTAAGACCAAACAAAAAACATTCCTACATACTAATTCTGCAGGTAACGGCACAAATATCGAAACAGATAAAGAAGAAAGCTAAAGATTGATAAGTAGCAGTAATTTTTTATATTAAATCTATGACCGATAAGATATAACCAAATTATTATTAAAGTATAAATAATCGTTTGTATGAATAAAAGTTTTGTATAAGATTTTATTACATTTTTTCTTATAAATTATGGAGATCTTAATATATGTATAGTTAAATTATTCGATATGGAAGAGTTCAGTACAGTTTGACTCTTTTGAAGATTTGTATCTTTTGATAGATGCTCTGAAAACAGATAGAGGTTCTGTACATGATAAAGCTAAGGATTTGTTTAGAGATAAATAATATAGTTATCACGGCGTTGGAAATGGCATTAAACAGACATTATAACATAACATTTGCTTTATTATGATTGATATAAATTCTGATGCATGTTGGGCATGAGAAGAAGTAGTCTTATTAATTCAGTCAAGATATATGTTCTTCAAACGAATTTATTAGATTGCATACGAATTAAATATACATTTGACATTTTATTTAATCCTCCCTATGTAGTTACAAAAAATAAAGAAGTAGTAGATAATAGACTCGTATTCAAAACTTAGGTTGGTGGTAAAAATGGTAGACAAGTTATGAAACAGGTATTTACTACTATTCCCAAAACCTTATTAAATGTAGGATTGTTTTATTTAGTTATTATATATCAAAGAAAATGATTCTGAATATATATTGAGCGCTTTTAAAAAATTAAATATGTCTAATGAAGTTGTTCATGAATGAAAAATAAGAACAGTGCATTTGTCCATTTTACATTTTCATAAAATTAAGGAAACGAAAAATTATCACTAGATGTCAGAGATATAACATCCACAGGACATTTTAAAGGATTTTAATTTTATAAGAAGAGAAAAAAGGTATTGATTATAAATCTACAATGCTATAAATCTAATTAATATTTATGGTGATAAATTACAGGTAAATAAACTTCATTTACTTGAATCATATTATATTGCACTGTTTGTAGATAGCTGTAACATCGTTTGTATTATTTGTCGTTATGTATTATGTAATTGCAATTAATATTTACAGGCATAAGAATATATTTCGTAATTAATAATTTGATTCCTTATTTATGTATACTTTTATCGTGTCTTTAGTAGTAATTGTTCATTTAAGAAAGGAGATGGTAAAAGAAAGCTAAAAGAAGAGATAATCTTTTTTACAAATATAATTTATTGTCAAGTACTTAAGATTTACATTATGATGGTATTGAATTATCGCAATAAATACCATGTATTGGTATTCAAGCATTATGCAAAATGAGCATTCTCGTCGTTTGAAGACGGCACGAGTAGTTTGTTAGATGTTTATAGATTGATGTATAAATATGGCTATTTTCCTATTCTGCTATTGAGCAGAATACATTTTCTATGTTTGTGTGGATAAGAGTAACGTTTCATTAAAATTTAGTTATAAATATTTAAAAGCAATAAGCTGGAAGAACTTCTTTGCCTACTATTAATAACAGTTATTTCAAAAATTTTGGTATAAATATTTACCTTCAGCAGTTTTTTCGCGATTGAATGATTATAAAGCGATAAAGTAACATCTCTCTTATCATTTAAATTATTATTTGATTACTGGCACGCGTTTGTTGTTTTCTACGCAACTTCTTTCTTGGTATTATTACGATAAAGGTATTATAAAAATAATACCCTTCTACGAATCCACAAATTTTGGTCTGCGAGTTCGTTGTAACTTAATATATAACACAGCCGCGCTTATGGTCGCGACGAAGAGTGTGCTTAACATAAGAGAGAAGGTAGTGTAAAATCCACCGTTGCTCATGCAAACCTCTTTCGCTTTTGTCATCGTCTCGACAGCCGTTTCCTCCATACTTTCCAGAATCTGGCTGGATGCTGTACTTAAGTCATCTAACATAATCACTTTGAAACGTCGCCCAACACGAACCGGATCTGATAACAGAATCGCATTCGACGAGTTGGTCGACGGTGGTGCATATGTTATCGAGCGGCGACGTCTTCCCGGGTCGATTTGCTAAAATAAATTATATATAATATGTGAGAAAAATTGTAAAGTTTTTTTAGTGTGATTTATTTCGTGAAATAAGGAATTTTGTATAATTTAGAATAATTTCGAATATTTCAAAATCTTTTATAAATTATCACAAGAAACTTTTTTTCAGTCGTCATAAGAAATGATGATTTTAAAATACATTATGTGTTAATTTCAATGTATGCGATAATTTTACCGAATATTATATATAATGTGTTACATTTGAATATTGATTTTGTGACTTACTTGATTCGCTTCCGGACAAGGTTCGCAATTAGTTTTACATAGTTCGACATTACATTCGATGAATAGATCCATAACATCAGGGAATTTGAAGGCTTGGAAGAACGCATAAGCGATAATGGAAGCACCTGTATTGCCGGTATCATTTGTCTTTTGGAAGGCACCGAACAGTTTCGGTTTCAAAATGCAGCCTCTTTCGTCGGTGAGCTGCAGCATATTGGTTGAGGCTTCGTCTCGCGCCAAACAGTCACGGACCTTGAAAATAATTATAAATAATTGTTTAATTTATATTTCGTGTAACAAATAAAAATTTTGTAATCTTAAAATTAAAGTAGAATACGTCGAAAAATGATTATTTCGTGTGTATATATATATATATGTATGTATATATATTCGTGAATTAATTACATCTATACATTTTTTTATGTTGGAACATGTAATTCTATTAATGAATTATCATTATGCATATAAGATGGTTTTCAATACGTACCTGGAGATCGAAACCAGGATCGCCCTCTACGGAAACTACTAAAGTCATTGTTTCTCCGATCTTTACGAGTCCATCGGCTGCTGGTGCGAAAGGTCCTTTACCGATTTGAATATCCAATTTAGCTGTCGCAGTATCGCCACTAAAGGTAACGATTTCTTGATTCAACATATCTACTGAGAGATTCACCGTTAAGGCCTTATTGATGTTCCCTTCCCAGAGACATCGTACTCTTCGAATCGTATCCCAGACTTCTTGTATACCCGGTTCATTCTTTAGCAATAAGAATTTTTTTTTTCAAAGTCTAATTATTTTCTATCACATGTGATTTTTTAGGAGCTAAATGTAACAAATAAAACCCGTGGAAAATCAAGCTAATAAATTTAGTTAGTTCGACACCGACTTGTAATACGAGGACGTTTTCCAAATACGCTTGACCAGCTTCACCCTCGAAATCGTTGATGAACTGAGTTCCGCAGGACTCCAGATTCACCGTAAAAGAGTATGTTGTTGAGCCTGAATTCTGTTTTACGTAGGTACATTCCGGATTCATGAAAAATCCCTAAAATTAGACAAAATCGATACATTATTATCTGTAATTTTTTGTGCAAGAGATTGTTTTATTTCACGCTCTCTTACCTTAGAATAAATAATGCCGTCATAAGCGCGATTGAATTCGATATTGATTGTCATCATTGTCTTACTGCATTGGACATCGAGATTATGAATATGCGGGGGATGACTGAGATCGTCCTCAGCTTGAGCAGTTTCTGAAAAATAAAATCAAATTATTTTTTCATGTATTTTGCATTTATGTTACACTGGCTGTAACACAAATACGTACCTCCAGTTCCAGTTTCAGTAGTTCGAGGGCCTTCCCCTGTAGCAGCTCCAACAGTAACAGCACCTGTTCCAGTTTCACTTGGTGGAGTAAAGGGAGGGAACGGTCTCTCGGTAGTCGAATATCCCCCGCTCGAAGTAGGGTAACCTGAACCTGAACTAGGATAGCCTCTTGTCGGGGTTGGTCCTGAGGGTCCTGAGACTCCTAAAAAATACTCAGATGGCATAATGCTGATAATCTTCGATTGATTTGGTGCACGATTTATTTAGTGCCGTATTATTTAATGATATACTTAAAGATGCTTTTGGAACATTTTCAATTTGGATTTGGATTTTTGAGTATACCCGTACCTGCACCAAAGAGCTTACCGATCGTGGATTCAGAAGGAGGTCTTGGACTGGTCGATGGGAAAAGCGGTGGCTGCGGCGGTAGATAAGTGGACGACGATTCCGGGGGATTCAGTGGTGGAAAGGCCGACGAGCCCGCGTTGGAATACGACGGTTGACTCGGTCGGGGGTTGTAGGACGTGGAGCCTCTGAAGCCTTGCGGCACGTACGTTGATGAAGGTTGTTGGTTCGGTCTTGGAGTAGAAAATGGCGTGGAAGGTTGCCCAGATGATGAGTAACCAATATTTGGCGGAGTATACAGCGACGATGGTCGCTGAGGGGTATAGCCTGATACATCACTTTGTTGAGAACTCGTGGCCTGGAAAGGTCGGGGTTTTTCAGGCGGTCGTTGAGTGCTGTAGGGTGGCAAGTATGCATTCGCATCCGATTGCTGGCGAACTGTAAAAATACGTGAGCTCAAAAGTGAGACTCCTTTGTAATCTGTGAACACTACGATGGCACCAATGAAAATTTGTTATTGAAGTTATCGATTATGCCATCGCAGTCCATAAAGATCGATCAGTTTTATATATGTATCATTCTTTTTAAGTTTTATTTAAAAAAAAACAAAAGGTAAAGGAAAGCGTAAGTTTTGGAGAGTTAATTAAGAATATATTGACTTTAGTGCTGCATAAAAGAGAATGATTTATTAAAAACATTCGATGGCTTTGATGGCATTTATTTATTAAGGTATTATATAAATTAAAAATTCTATGGATTAAAGTTAATTGTTTTGAAACTTACTATTGACTGGGAAGCAACTGTCATTCATAATATTAAAAAACGTACTTATATTTTACATTAAAGCTATCGATAATGCCATCGAAGTCCATGAACATTGATCAATTTTAGTGTTGATCGGTCTCTTTGAATTTTAATTAAAGAAAACAAGAGAGTATATTCTAAAGAGTTAATTAAGAGTGCATTGACTTAATGCTTTGTAAGAGAAAACGATTTATTGTCAGTTCGAACAAACGTGCATCAAAGCCAATCCCAGCGTCGAACATAAAGCTAATTCCGTGACTTCTAAATGTCACGTTAAAATGATTGATTAATAGCATAGCGT